TGTGTAGTACACATTTGCGCTCACTATTTACCGCAATACTTATCTGTTCTTTGCGATGTACATATTGTGCATGATGACATCGCAATAACAATATATTTGCAATATATATATATATATATTTGCTGCCCTAATTGTAACCTTTAACCAGCTTTGAAACAACGCTTTCCACCTCTCATCATTACTGGTTATTTTAGCATTGTAACCAATGTAGTTGTTGGGCCACCTGAAAAACCTCAATATTTCTTTTATTGCAAATGAAGTGTTCATTAGCAAAAACAAATAAGCTTTTATGACAAAGGAATGTTATCACATGAAGTAAATAAAAAATGGGTCCCTTAAAATCATCAAAAGCTGAGCTATCCGTTCTGTTTTTGCAAGTGAAATTTTAAAGGTGTGGAACACTGAAAAATGTCTATTGATGATTGTTTCTGATTAAAATCAGTCACTTCCCATGCAGGTTGAACATGAAAATAGTCTCTGATACCTACCTCTTACATTAGCATCTGAAAGAAAATAGACGGTGAAACTCTAGGATTAGAAAATCCTTACAGATCTACGTCACCCAACTTGACTCACAATGAGGACTGCTGTTGTTGGCTTAGCATCCAGGAAGCAGCAGAGAACGTCTCAGCTAGTAGAAGCTAACTGTTAGCATTAGTAACTCCACCACACAGCAAAACTCCTTCAGGCTTGTGTTTGTAGAGATAAAACATTAGCGTTAACATGCTCTCTCTCTCTCTCTTTACATGTTGTTATGGACTCAGTTTTTGAGTGTTAAACCAAGTGAAGTGAAAAATGTTAACTTTTTTCAGTGTGTAAGTTAAAATGGAAGGAGGCAATTGTAAGTCTGGCTGGACAGAAAACTATGAGTCACTGTCTCAATGTTCTGTGTAGGAACATGTGTGTGTGTGTGTGTGTGTGTGTGTGTGTGTGTGTGTGTGTGTGTGTGTGTGTGTGTGTGTGTGTGTGTGTGTGTTTATATAAAACTGTTCTCCAACCTCCTATTGTGAAAAGGAAGCCATCAGCTTTCACCCTTCAGCAGCAGCGTGTCTGGATTCAGTGTAAGAGTGTTCATCGGCATTTGTGTGTGCATGCATGTGTGTATGTGTCCTTCTGCTTGCAGAGGTTTTTCAACTAGCAGCACAATGTAGTTCCTGGGTGGTTCTAATACCTTTTAGTCTTTTTAAAGCACACACACACACACACACACACACACACACACACACACACACACACACACACACACACACACACACACACACACACACACACACACACACTAATACACTCTAAACTCAGCTGGAGCCTCTTCTAATGAAGGGACAAAGGTGAGGGGTTACGTTTTGGGGAACTCCAAAAGCGACCCCACTTTAGAAGAAGAGAGGAAGATGCCAGGAGAATAATGAAAATGGAGAAGTTAAAGGAAACTAGAGGATAAAGTGGATGTAACCAAATCGGGTGTGATGGAGTACGAAAATCCATTTAGGAGTCAGTAACAAGAGGAAGTGTAAGTTAGCATTCAGTCTTCCTCTCTGGGAGTCTGATTGATGAAGAGGGTTCAGATTGGCCCTCTGCAGCTCCTTAGATGTGCGAAAACTGCCAATCAGTGGGGGGTGGGGTGGGGTGGGGTGAAGAGTGGGGGGTAAGATGGGTGCTAAAGTATAAAATGTTCTTTCTTGAAGTTTTGTTTGATCAATAAAGGCTGAAGCTAAAGTTGTGCTCACAAAGGTGGACAGATACATGTAAGGTTCAGTTTGGTTTATACCAGATGTTTATCACTTATGATGACAGATTAAATGTTCAGAATGATTGTAAACAGTTTCTGCAGTCACATTGTTCCCTTTCAACATATCGATTACAGAAATAAAGTTTTTTTTTTGACTGACTTATTTCTAACGCTTTCAGAACCGTTTTATTTGTAACTGGTTAAATGAAGCACTTAAATCCTACTGGTGATTAAAAATAGGCAACGGTGATCCATGCCCTGCTATACACATCTACAGTATTATCATTAAAAGTGCAGAGTGTGAGCAGAAGCAATTTCAAGTTTACTTAGCTCCGCATCTAAATCTAGTTTTGTGTTCTAATGGTAGAAGTAAAAGTTCCTGTTTTAGTCTCCTGCCACCATCGTCTGCTCATTTGCTAACAAGCTACTGTAGCCAGAGAGAGTGTTCACTTGTCGTCTGTGTGCCATCACTTTCTCAACCTTCAAGTCACTGATCCTACCACAGGATTGGAGGATAAAAACACGATGTGAATGAAGGGATAATCCCAGAGAACAAGAAAACAACATCTCAGAGTTCTGAATCTTTGAAAGCTCTGCTGGATTATTTTATATTCTTTACACATAAATTTCCTCTTGAGATGGTGCTGGGGGCAGCAGGTGGAGGCTGGGGAGATGGATGATACCTGCAGGGCCGATTATACCATCACAACAGCAGGAATCTGAGGAATGTGAATGGGCATTAGCCAGTAGCCGATTAGCATTGTGGAAGGGGTCAAGAGCCGGAGGGTTAAAGGTCAGGTGGTCTGTCTGGAACAGAGACACCAAACCTGTTTGTTTCCAGCGTTCTAGCTGATGTCTTTCCAAGAATAAAATTCTACTTGAATTAAACATTCTTGTCCAAAAACACACTTTAACGATCCCCAAAATGTTAGGTAAATTTTTCTGTAGACCCACGAGAGAACAGAAGAACTTCCTGAAAGTCCAGATAGGTTCAATTAATGCTTTTATTCGAACCTCTTTGAAAAAGAAAGAAAGAAAATTATCTTTTTAAAAAGGGTGTGTTCCAACTACAGGGGGTTCACACTCCCGAGCCTTCCTGGTAAGGTCTATTCAGGGGTTCTGGAGAGGAGGGTCCGTCAGATTGTTGAACCTCAGATTCAGGAGGAGCAATGTGGTTTTAGTCCTGGCCGTGGAACACTGGACCAGCTCTACACCCTTAGGGGGATCCTGGAGGGTGCGTGGGAATTTGCCCAACCAGTCTACATGTGTTTTGTGGATTTGGAGAAGGCGTTTGACCGCGTCCCTCGGGGGGCCCTGTGGGGGGTACTCCGGGAGTATGGGGTACCAGGCCCTCTGATACGAGCTGTTAGGTCCGTGTATGACTGGTGTCAGAGCTTGGTCCGCATTGCCGGCAGTAAGTCGGGCTCGTTCCCAGTGAGAGTTGGACTCCGCCAAGGCTGCCCTTTGTCACCGATTCTGTTCATAACTTTTATGGACAGGATTTCTAGGTGCAGCCAAGGTGTGGAAGGCATCCGTTTTGGTGGTCTGAGGATCAGGTCTCTGCTTTTTGCAGATGATGTGGTCCTCTTGGCTTCATCAGAACGTGATCTTCAGCTTTCGCTGGAGCGGTTCGCAGCCGAGTGTGAAGCAGCTGGGATGAGCATCAGCTCCTCTAAATCTGAGACCATGGTCTTGATTCGGAAAAGGGTAGAATGCCTTCTCCAGGTCAGGGATGAGGTCCTGCCTCATGTGGAGGAGTTTAAGTATCTCGGGGTCTTGTTCACGAGTGAGGGAAAACTGGAGCGTGAGATCGATAGGCAGATTGGTGCTGCATCTGCAGTGATGCGGGCATTGTCGTGGTCAAGAGAGAGCTGAGTCAGAAGGTGAAGCTCTGGATTTACCGATCGATCTACATTCCTACCCTCACCTATGGTCATGAGCTTTGGGTAGTGACCTAAAGAACGAGATCGCAACTACAAGCGGCCGAAACGAGTTTCCTCCAAAGAGTGGCTGGGCTCTTCCTTAGAGATAGGGTGAGAAGCTCAGTCATCCGGGAGGGGCTCGGAGTAGACCCGCTGCTCCTCCACATCGAGAGGAGCCAGTTGAAGTGGCTCGGGCATCTGGTCAGGATGCCTCCTGGATGCCTCCCTGGTGAGGTTTTCTGGGCACGTCCAACCGGGAGGAGGCCTAAAGGTAGACCCAGGACACGCTGGAGGGACTATGTCTCTCACCTGGCCTGGAAGAGCTGGCCCAAGTGGCTGAGGAGAGAGAAGTCTGCCCCTACAACCCAAAGCAGAAGAAAATGGACAGATGGATGGCAAAAACTAAAAAGATCCTATTGTTTTGTGAATCACTCAGTTCGTACATGTGCCCTCCACCCCATCAGGTAGCTACACTAGCTTGTGTTTTCTTAGCAGAACACTAAGAAGTCGATTTCAAACACTTGTTAGTGTGTCTGTTTGTGTGTGTGTGTGTGTGTATGTGTGTGTGTGTGTGTGTGTGTGTGTGTGTGTGTGTGTGTGTGTGTGTGTGTGTGTGTGTGTGTGTGTGTGTGTGTGCGTTCTATAAAAGCTGCAGCTTATTTAAAGTGGCTGAAAATTAAATCTCTGTAAACCCTAATGTGCTCTCTCTCTCTCTCTTTCGCTCTCTCTCTCACACACACACATACGCACACATATGTCTGTCTTTCTTTCATAGTGAGGACCATCCATTGACTTGCATTCATTTTTATGACGATGTATTATGCCCAACCCATCCCCTAACCATAACCAATGCTGATCTATTCCTAACCTTAACTAAAACTTCATTCACACCAGACCTCTAAAACCAAGTTAAGCTTCTAAATAAAGTGAGGACCACAAAAATGTCCTCACTTTGGAAAATGTCCTCACTTTGTAGGGAAAATAGTGAACATGGTCCTCAGTATGTAGTAAGTACAACACCACACACACACACACACAGTGTTTAAAGTAAAGGTGGGTGAGAGAGGGACGAGAAACCTCTAAGGGACATTAGTGCCCCCTACAGGTGTTTGGTGCATTCCAAGCTTCTACCTGATGGGTTCTAAGAACACATCTGCTAGTTGAAGATACAAGGACATTTTCTCTTCATGCCTTTGAGAAATGAGCAGTAACAGCTGATTGTAGTTGGTGAATCAGAGCTCTGAAGCATTTGAGTGGTTATATCAGGAGCTGGGGCTGCAAATCTGCACTCAGCTTGACTCAACTTCCCAAATCTCTCTCCTGTGTCCTCTATGTGTCCGTCATCTGTCCAGTGACCTGAGTGAAAACCAGATTCAGGGGGTTCCAAGGAAAGCCTTCAGGGGAGCTGTGGAAATCAAGAACCTGTAAGTGTGTGTGTGTGTGTGTGTGTGTGTGTGTGTGTGTGTGTGTGTGTGTGTGTGTGTGTGTGTGTGTGTGTGTGTGTGTGTGTGTGTGTGTGTGTGTGTGTGTGTGTGTGTGCGCGCGTTACTTGCACTGCAATCTGTCTTTTAACACATGCAACACTCACGTCTGTGCATTAATATTTCATTGTGCTAAATGTCATGTGCCTCCTGCTTGCTGTATTGACTGGCCCCTGCTGCTTGTTAGCAGCTGTGTGTGTGTGTGTGTGTGCGTGCGCGTGTGTGTGTGTGTGTGCGTGCGTGCGTGCGTGCGTGTGTGTGTGTGTGTGTGTGTGTGTGTGTGTGTTAGCAGCTGTGTGCGCGCTTGAATGGATGCAGACACAACGACATAAAGACCTGCTTCTGCAAAGAACAGGGGGTAAACAGAGACAGGAGGCTGCTGATGGGTTGTTCAGAGAGGTTGATGCATCTTCATCTCTACATGCACCTTTCTTATGTGAGTGTGTGTGTGTGTGTGTGTGTGTGTGTGTGTGTGTGTGTGTGTGTGTGTGTGTGTGTGTGTGCAGCCAGCTGGACTACAACCACATCAGCTGCATTGAGGATGGAGCTTTCAGAGCATTACGTGACCTGGAAGTACTGTGAGTACCTGTTTATTCGGTCAGCAGCACTAATGAAAGTCAGATATGGAACAGCTAATATCCTTGTTGACCTTTCAAGCACCACATTGCCTCTGCAGCTCCTGGAAGGGACACTGTAAAGTTTCACAGCTGGCATTAACAACTATTCTCATCGTTTAGAAATGAAGCGATAGTGAGAGAATGAAATTTGATGGTTTTATTTTTGTTATTCTGTTCTACGATAATAACTCAGAAGGGAATGAAGGGCTAGCATGGATTAAATTCATGTATAAAATAATTAACAAAGAGGGATTCTGTCCATTTTCAGGTTTGTAATAGGAGCCGAACTTGCTGGTGTTAGTTTTATGATTCTTGTACTGATTTGTCATAAAAACCTGATTTCATAAACTCATTATGCTTGTTTAAATGCACACACCTTCTCTTGGTTGGATGATGGTGAGTTCAAGGACAGGGACAAATGTTAGATTTCATGTTTTTAGTAGAGATTAGATGATCCCCCATTAAACCAGCTGGTTCCAATAACTAACCAGTCTGGTGCATCTCTAATCATCAGGGTTGTATTAAGAGCTTAATCCCACTCATGCTAACAGCTAATACCTGGGATGTGTTGTGAGTCAAGAGGGTGGAAACAAAGGAATATATAATCTTCTGTCAGCTGGCATCACGATGCATTGCGTGGTGGTGCTGATCTAAAACTTCAACCTTTTCGGTTTGTTTTCTTTTCTAATCTAATTTTCAATCTAGCCCTAACCCTAACCGGAGAAAATCAAACATTTCAAGCATTTAGGCCAAAAGTGTGTGATCTTTACAAAACAAAGCCACTAAACATAAGTTAAATAAAATAACACAGTTTTCTCTTTATCCTGTAGGTCAAATAAAAACATAGTTTAAAAGAAGACGTTTACATGTTTGTGTTGACTTTGCCGCCTTAGCTGTAAGCAGGATGATGAGTAAATCCATCTGTTTCTCCTCAGGACCCTGAACAATAACAACATGAGTCGGCTGTCTGTGGCCAGTTTTAACCACATGCCGAAGCTCAGGACCTTGTAAGTAGCACCACTTCCTGTTTCACCCACTGTGGGGGCGGAGTCCTCTCAGCTGTGCCCAGTTCTAACATTAACTGATTCTTCTCCTCATCTTTGCTCAGTCGCCTGCACTCCAACAACTTGCAGTGTGACTGCCATGTTGCCTGGCTGTCCGAGTGGCTGCGACAGCGCCCCCGCCTGGGTCTCTACACGCAGTGCATGTTCCCCCCACACCTGAGGGGCCACAATGTGGCAGAGGTGCAGAAGAAGGAGTTTGTGTGTGGAGGTAGGTCCACTTTACTTGTTTGCTCTCTGCTCTGTGAGTTTCTTCTTTTTAATGTTTAACAACAGCCGTCATTTCTTTGGTGTCTTGTTTGCTTCTCAAGATGGGGATGAAGGTGAGTCTTCCTCCTCTTTTGCTTGTTTTAGTTTTGTCTAAACAACTAAAATGTGTCTCTCTTCCTGCCAAGTCGACACTTTAAAAAATCTTTTTCCTCCCGCGGTCTTTGGTATTTAGATGGATAACTCTGGCTCCCTGTCTCCGTGTAGGTCACCAGTCATCATCGTCTTCCTCCTGCAGCGTTTTACAGTGCCCGGAGTCCTGCACCTGCAGCAACAACATCGTAGACTGCAGAGGAAAGAGTCTAACAGAAATACCCACCAACCTGCCTGAAACCATTACTGAGATGTAAGACACACACGTGCACCTTACAGTTGTTAGCATGCTGCACGCACACACACACACACACACACACACCTGCATAAACAGCAGGTGCAGTGATATTTCTGTTGCTTGTTCACCTCATGTCCCTCAGCTTCCTCTTTGTCTTTCTCCAGATTTTTGTTTCACGCCCTCTTTTTTCTGCATGTGGTGAAGTAAAAGCACACATCTGTGAAATGAGAAAGCTTGCCCAGGCAGTGCCTTCCTGCTAAAATAAGTACCAGTGAAATGAGGACCTCAGAAAGAATTGAGTGATTAGTCTATGGCACCATATTTCTACCTGCATCAGGAGACGAGGGACTGACGAGAGCCACAACATTTTAAATGAACAAAAAATGTGTTGTTAAATTTAAAATTTACACCTGGAATTGTTTAGTCTGGAGGAAGTCACCAACAGATTTGCAGAAATGGTGTTAAATGTCCGGCAGGAAAATTGAGACAAAACAATTTCATCTTTTCAAGTTCCTGACCTTCAAACACGCACCAGCATCATCATTTAGCTTCTCTTCTGTGGACGCCTCATTAAAAGTCTTAAAACTGAAGACACTATTGAGTCATGACAGTCATGTGCCCTTGGGCAAAACACTTCACTGTCCGGTCCTGCTGCTGGTCGTCGGACAGACCAGTGGCACTGATTTAGAGCATTTCAGAGTCCCCCTCAATTAGAAAAGAGCTACACAAATGAAATTATTGCCTTTTGTTAATCTTCTCCTGTGAATAAAAGATATTTGTTGTAGTGGGTTGTTGTTTATTTGTGTTTTTGGCTAAGACAAAAGCTAACGCGGTTGATGGCTCATTCTGTGGGCTCGTGCTGCAACAAGTAGAGTCAAAAAAGATTAATGCTGCAATCAGAAGGTTTAATTAAACGGCAAGACGGAAGACAAACACTGCACATAAATACGGTTAAAGACAAGAACAAAGTAATAGCTTAGGACACAATTCAGAATGCATAAAGATATAAATCTATACCCCGTGTGTGTGTGTGTGTGTGTGTGTGTGTGTGTGTGTGTGTGTGTGTGTGTGTGTGTGTGTGTGTGCGTGCGTGTGCGTGTGCGTGTGTGTGTGTTGGAGTCCACCTGACTGTACGAGGGTCAGAGATCAGAGAAAGCTTGCTGCAGCCAGATCCCTCAGTCAGGAGCGGCGGTCTCGGATCCAGGAGAGATGGGTCTGATTGGGGAACATGAATGTCTCCTCTCAGTGGTCTGTGTGTCTGTTTGGTTCCAGACGACTGGAGCAGAACGCTATCAAGGTGATCCCAGCTGGGGCCTTTTCTTCCTATAAGAAGCTGCGCCGGATGTGAGTAGATCAAGAGGATCTGTGTTACTCTTACAACCATCCGCATGACGGCCGGTTGCATCTCTGGCTCATTATGTTATTATTTTATGTATTTTGTTATATTTTCTTGGTCCTCGTTTCATTTAACTTTTTTAGTTTTATTTGTTTTTTTCTCAGAGATCTGAGTAACAACCAGATATCAGAACTGGCCTCTGATGCCTTCCAAGGTCTGCGTTCCCTTAATTCTTTGTAAGTATTTGCTGTTATAGTTGGCATGAAGAGTTATGTTTAAGATTAATAACGGTGTTGCTGAGTTCCTTTTTAGTCCTGATGCTGCACCATCTGCGTTGCATGAGAGGTCTGGTGAAATAAAACTGGGAAAAGGCTGGAATGATGTCAAGTTTTTCCATAAAGGAGTTAGATTAAGATGTCTACTTTCCAAAGTCAATTATTCATGAATGCTGAATGGCTGAAAGAAGGCTGCAGCTACCACCTCATTACACACCCACACCAGAGACAACAGGACACGCAGATTCATGCTGACACGAGCAACGTGGCTCTCACATTAAGAAAGAGCTGCCAGTGCACTTCTCTGGTGTTTGTTTTGGAGCGGAGTCGCTGTAAATGACCCGTTGGTTGTGTGTCTGTGCCTGTCTTCACACGTGAATGAAGTGACTACATGCTAACGTGTTGCTGAGACATAAATGAAGCATCCTGTCCTCACATAGCGTCGGTCCAAGCTCCAGGCCTCTCAGGGACGTCCACTCAGCTTAGTAAAAGGAAGCCGGTCTGAAACACGTCTGAAGACTCCATAAATAGTTAGATGTTGACCTGAACCCAAACAAGATCTTAGATACAAGTAGTAGAAACAAACTCCTTAGAGGGTTTCCTGCAGCCTTGGACATAAGATGAGGAGCTCCATCATCCAGAGGTGTGTGGGAGGAAAGCAGAGCACCTGGAGAAAACCCACGTGTGTGTGTGTGTGCAGAAAGGCAACAGCTGTGAAGCTACAATGCTGCTCCACCATGCAGGATGCTGTTACTAACTTTACCAAGGGCAGGCCCATGGAGTCCAGTCATTACCAGAATTAATAATAATGATTAAACACACTCATGCAAACCTAAAGGAAATATGACTGATTTTTAAAGACAGCCGTGGTCCACATGAGGATTGTGCAGCTGGCGTTCTAATTTCAGTCCAGGGGTGTATAATCATAATTTTATTAAACGTTTAAGGTTTCTGCTTAAATAATACAAACAAGTATTGCCAAGGTCCAGGAGGGTGAGAATCACATTAAATATCTGACAGAAGGTTTGGGTTCTGGGCCCTCATTTATCAAACGTTCATAGAAGCTGTCCTATATTCCTTCCTTTTCAGTCATTTACCTACAGAAACGCCCCCGATCGACTTTATTTGGTCACGCTACACCCTCAGCAAGTGAGGGAATTCCCTGGGTTTTTTTCACGAAAAAAAAAGTAATTTGACAGCGAGATTGAGACACTGGCTGCCGAAGTGCAAAAGAACCAAAGAAGAGGTTATAAACACGGTCGGGACAGACGAGAGGTACAGTTTCTTTAAAAAGCTGGTAAAATCATGAAATCCAAGTCGAGTAGACGCTCTATTCTAATGGTTCCCAGAGTCAGGGTCGGGGCCCTAAATCAATTCAAGTTTATTTATATAGCGCCAAATCACGACAAGAGTCGTCTCAAGGCACTTCACACAGTAAACATTCCAATTCAGGTCAGTTCGTTAAGCCCATCAGCAAAAAGGTTCCTATATAAGGAACCCAGCAAATTGCGTCAAGTCACTGACTTTACAGCAATCCTCATGCTAAGCAAACATTTAGCGACAGTGGAGAGGAAAACTCTTTTAACTGGAAGAAACCTCCAGAGAATCCTGGCTCAGTATAAGCAGCCATCCTCCACGACTCACTGGGGATCGAGAAGACAGAAGACACACACACGCACGCACGCACGCACGCACACACACACAAAAGTAATGTGTCTATAGTTATGTTGTGATGTCTTAGTAAATATTCTATTTGGTGAGAGATAAACTTTATTGTATTTATCCTAGTGGATCTATAATTAAACGGATAAACTAGTAGTAGCACATCCAACGTCAAGTAAAGTAAAAAGTTATTATCAGGAGAGGGAGAATGTTTAAGTGGTTAGCAGCAGTGTGCTAGTCGATGGTCCCCTCCATGAGGCCACCACAGCTCAGCAGAACATCATTGTAGCTTCTTCTGGGGAGAAAAACACTTAGAGAGAAAATAAAGTTAACAGCTGAAATAGCAGAAAGTAATACAGTTAAAGAGCAGATTGTAGAAGAAAGCAGTAGAGTGTGAAAAGTGGTCAGTGTATCCTCCAGCAGTCTAAGCCTATAGCAGCATAACTACAGAGAAAAGTCTGGATAACCTATCCTATTTAGATGGAGGCATGTTGGAGTCAGGGCAAGGGAGAGCCGTCTTTACCGACTGTACACTCCACCTCCCTCTACTCCCCCACTTGTCCAGATTTAGGCTAACATCAGATTTTAACCATAGGCCCTATCAAATAAAAATGTTTTAAGCCTATTCTTAAAGGTAGACGAGGTGTCTGCCTCACGGACTAAAGCTGGGAGCTGGTTCCACAGGAGAGGAGCCTGATAACTAAAAGATCTGCCTCCCATCCTAATTTTAGATATTCTGGGAACCACCAGTAGACCTACAGTCTGAGAGCAAAGTGCTCGGTTAGGAACATATGGAACAATCAGATCACTGATGTATGATGGAGCTTGATTATTAAGAGCTTTATATGTGAGAAGAAGGATCTTAAAATCTATTCTGAATTTAACAGGTAGCCAATGTAGGGAAGCTAAGACAGAGCCAAGATCTATAATTAAACGGGTAAACTAGTAGTAGCACATTCAATGTCAAACAAAGTAAAATGTTATTATCAGGAGAGGGAGAATGTTTTAAGTGGTTAGCAACAGTGTTCAAGCCGATGACCCCCTCCAAGAGGCCACCACAGCTCAGCGGAACATTATAGCTTCTTCTGGGGAGAAAAACACTTGAGAGAAAAAAACAAAGTTAACAGCTGAAATAATACAGTTAAAGTGTCACAAACAGAACTCAGAAGACCCATAATGACGCCAAACACAGTAAAGTATATAAAAAAATTTATTTTTTGTGGAGTTACCAGAGGAGGGCGAGGCAGTAGACAGAGTCGGGGGGCAGGCGTGAGTCAAAACCAGATCGGCACAAGCAGGTACAGGGAGCAGGCTGGAGACGACAGCGAGGGCAAAAAGTTATTATCAGGAGAGGGAGAATGTTTACAGCATACAGGGAGAAGACAGGCGAGGGTGGGATGGCAGGCAGAGTTCAAGGCAGGGGTCAGGAGAAAAACGAGGTCCGGAGGCAGAGATCAGGCAGGGTGGATGGCTGGAGAATTTACTGGCAAAGGCTTTCAATAATCTGGCAGGGAACTGGTGGCTGACTGGTGAATATATAGCAGGGGAAGCAGGTGTGAGTGATGAGCTGAGGAGTCAGGAGCAGGTGAAGTGGATGAAGCTGATTGTGGTTGCCAGGGGAAACAGGGCTTGTCAGGAGCTTGGTGAAGGGACCAGGTGAGCTGAATGAAGGTTAAATGAGGAGGCAGAGGAGGGTGAAGGATGGGAGTCATGACATAAAGAGCAAATTGTAGAAGAAAGCAGTAGAGTGTGGAAAGTGGTCAGTGTATCCTCCTGCAGTCTAAGTCTATAGCAGCATAACTACAGAGATAACGGGATAACC